TTTTGTTTTTTTTTTTTTTTTTTTAACCTGGAAGTTGCTCTGGCTCAGGCTACTGGCCATTTGATAAAGTTTTGTTCACAAGCTTTCACTTCCTCTTGGAAATTCAAAGAGTTAATGCACTTCAGAAGAGTCTCTCAGTGTAGATGTTCATGGGTGTGCAGTTGCATGGTTTTGATCGTCAGTGTAACTGTCACTGCAGGCAGAGACTATGAGTAATTGCACTTTGGTTGAGTTGATATCATAAATTCCATTTATTCATTCAAGTAGACTTCCTTCTGTATTGGACCCCGAGCTCCATAGAGGCACAGATGTGTCTGTTTTCACTCAATGCACTTTTGCATTTACCCCTTGAACCTACAATGGCTACTTGATAGACATTTGTTAAATGAACAAATAACATGATTTACCCCTGTGGAGTTATTAAGGCACTAAAACTTTGCGATTCAGTGTATTTTTCTATTAAACGTTTGTAAACATCATCCTTGTTGTGTTTGAAAGTGATTATACAAGATGACAGTGTACTCATCTGCATCTGTACACAAGAGTGATAAACGCCTTATGTGAGAACTTTGATGTCCCCTCTGGATTCTGCCTCAGATCTCTGAGAGATCATCACCATGGGCTGTCCAGATGAAGCAGTCCAAGGCTTTTTTCTGAGTGGCTGGAAACTCAGGGACGGAGACCAGTTGATTACCTTTCTTCAATCACTTGCATTTCCCAAAGAACCCTAACCTTTTCCCAATCACAGCTTCTTTATCTGTTATCATTTTTACACTCCCCGTCACCCCATCTTCCCACACAGGTTCTTCTTTTGTCCAGTAGCTGTTGTCTTCTTTTTCCTCTTGGACATTTTGCCTTCTACCCAAATGCAGAGTGTGAGCACAACCATTTCTGTTACTGTCTGAAGCTCATTTGAGCCCCACTCTTGAATCTGACCCACTCCTATTTCCTGCCAGTCAAGCCCTGCCAAAAGAGGAACAGGACTCCCTGTCTTGGCCACCAGATTCAAGCAGCCAACTTTTCTAGCTATTCAGTAGCCCCGTAGCTTCTCATTGGGTGACTTCTATTGAGCTTCTCATTTCTGTTGTTTCAGCAGCATCCACCTTGGGCCTTGGTGCTGTAATAGCCTTTGAGGGCAGGCAGGAGACTAGAGGTGCTCATGAATGTGACCTGGGACTTAAGTGTGCATACCCATGTATTCAGTGATTATTTATCTGGTGCGTGTTATGTGCCTGGTGTGTTATCCAGCTGGAGCTGTGGTGAGAGAGGTGACTGGTCACTGTTAGGACAGATCAGGGCTGGAACAGAGTCCTCTTTTCTCCCATCTCTCCAGACTGAGCCATGCCTCCCCATACCTGTGTGCTTCCATGGTCTCCCTCAGTGTCACCTTCCCAAGCATCCACTCTGAGGTTCTGACAACCACTTTTTTGATGTTTATTTTGTGGCAGATGATTCAAGAGAGCCGATTTCTCATAGAAATGGCGGATGCAGTTCAGGAAAAGATTGTCCAGTGTCAGAAAGCAGGTAATTTTTTTTATTCTGTTTAAAAAACATAGGGCAATTCTTTGCAGATTTTTAAAAAGTTCTTGTTTTTTTCTCTTAAAACATGATGATGTTTAACTGTACTTTAGGCTGCAGAAGTCTTTGTTTCGTACAGAAGACATCTGGAAGGTAAAGGTGGATTAGATTTGTGTACACAGAGGGGAGGGCAGCATCTGAAGTTGTCCTTGGAGTCGAGGGCTCCCGAATCTGCTTCCCTACTGTCATGGAACATATGGTTTTACATAGGCACCCTTAAACCCACTTCATCTTTGCAATTTGAGTCATGACCCGATTAATTGTCCATGTTCTAGCCCCATTTCGTAGTCTTCATTTTAGATCCAGGATGGGAAGGGCCACCCGTCTGCAGTTACACAGCTCTGCTTCTTATTGCTCCCCTCCATGGGAAGATGGAAGTGATGACAGCTGCCTCATAAACATGACATGGGCCCACCTCACCTACTCCTCATAGTAGCTCTCAGTGGTCCTCTCTCTGCAATGGGTCCAGCTGCAGAGGAAGTAGCTGAGCTCCTGAGAAACAAAGTCAGTGACCCGACAGCCCCTGTCACCATTGGGTGAGGCTGACTTTGAACCTAGACTTTGCAATAGTGGCCGTCACCAACCAGGCTGAGATGTTTCCACTGAGAGGAGTTACAAACTAATGACACCTGTTGGTAGTGCCATGCCAGGCACCGCTCTGAGAGAGCCCTAAGTGTGCCCAGTCCCACAAGATGACCCTCTGTCACCACCACATGCCAGCGAGGCATCTCAGGAGCACATCAATAGTGGCTCACGCCTGGGCTCTGTGTTGTAGTCCATGTACTTCTCTCTGTGCTGTCAGTGAATATGGCTCCTGGATTGTGAACAGAGGTAGAGTTACTCAAGCACGGGGATTGCAGAGTCCTGCTTGCACTCTGGGTCATGTCCCCAGTGCTGGATGCTGAACAGTCGGTGTGCGGCGGCCCTGCCCAGGCACCTTCTTGGTGTCGCTAGTAGGCTGAGTCATGTCTAATGCTGATCCTGGAGCAGGTAGGACATGAGGGGTCTGTCCAGTACCCTTTTCTTGAGTGTCAAAAAGCTCTGCTGTGGAAAAGTGATTAGGCCTTGCTGGCCAAGCCACTGGGAGCAGAAGCTCTTGGGGAGGATTCATTCCATATCAGCCTAGCTGTCCTTGGAAGCAGCTCACTGTCAGAAGGAGAATGCAGTTCTGTCCTTGAAGGCCAGTGACATCTTCATGGACTGATGTTGCTGCTATCACATGGCTTTCAGGGCCCATCAGTGGTGGAGAGCTGTTCCCAAAGCTGAGCACTTGGGTGTTTCTTGGGATTCATTTTCGAAAGTCTTGTTATTGTTAGTCAGCATTTACTGATCGCTGATGATTATCCATGAGGGCTTCAGGGCAGCTGTTGAAGCTGTAGGGCTGGATCATGGAGAAGTGAAGCTGGGCACCTCCCCTACTGGCACCATCTGCACCCACCCTTCACGTGACACCCAGGACGGATGGGGAGGGAGCTGCTGCAATCAGTCCTTGTAGATGACTCCTGCCTGTCAGGATGTGATTTTGCCTCACAGAGTATTGCTGGTTTCCCCATGGACAGCCCTTTGATGGGATGAATAAAATGGAAAGAAAAATTCAATTCAGGGTATGGACATTGTCAGAGGACACAGATGTGAAATTATATTTACAATAAGTGCCTATTTTCTGAAATTTGTGCCAAGATTTCTTTGTCTCTTTTTAAAGGGATGGGGTTCCATGAAGAGCTTCATAACCTAGCAGCAAAGGAAGGCTTGAAAGGAAGGAAACTCAACAAGGCGGCTGAGAGCTTTGCTTGGAACATCACTGTGTTGAAGGTAATGCAGCCCCATCATGGAGGGAGGGAGGTGCTGTGTGGTTAAACACGTATCAGGGCATTACACTGCATGTGGCCCACTCACCATGTTCACGCTCTGAGAGAGGGGGACATGCACTCTGGGAGGGACCCACTTTTAGCCTCAGGGGCAGAAAGCAGAGGATGCCATGTGTGTGAGACCCAGTTCCTCACTTGGTGAGTGTGTGCACGCACGTGTGTATTCTTCAAGTGTTTATGAGTGTTTCTTTCTGTGGAAAGAACAGTGCCCAATGCTGCCAGTAAGGTTCCAGTGTAAGTGACTGACAAGAGTTTTACACTATGGAATATTCAGAGCCATTTAAGATTGTTTGCTTTAAAAATAGTCCCTTCATAAATACGTTTCTTTTTGCAGATATCTTTGGGAGATTGTGATTTGTTCTCTGTTGCAAATTAATTGTAGGACTTTGGTGTAAAGAATGCTACCTTGTATGTCTTCTTACATGAAAGGAAAAATGACTTAGGTAGTTGGAATAATGTATTTTGGATTCTGTGATGGGAGAGAAATAGCCACAAAACTAATAGGTTGACATCTGGAAAATACCTATGTGTCGGATGCTGTTTTGTGAGGTTTATGTGAATTAGTAATTGAATACAACTGCCCACATTGTTAAAATGTTCACTGTACAGATGAGAAAACTGAGGCCTTGAAGGCTTTCAGATGTCACCTCAGGTCACTCGGCTGCGGTTGGACCCAGGCAGTTTGGCTTCAGAGCCTGTCTTTAACTTGCTGGGCAGTAATGTTGAACATGTCTACGTGAGGTGATGGTGCATACATCTCTTGAAGATTCAGTCCACAAATGTTTGTCATCTGTGTAGGCATTTGAAGGTTCATAGAGAAGTGAAGAGGTATGGACCCTGACCTCATGAAGTCAGCAGTCTGAGGATGTGGGGAAGATAGACACCATTGGCTTAAGGGACAGAGATGAGCTAAGGGTGTCCATTGATTGAGGAGTTTATTACAGCTCTAGAGTGTCATGTGGCAGCCTGAGCCTGATATACCATTTTCTGTTCAGCAGATATTTATTTGAGTTTGTTACTGTACCAATCATTGAGAATGATGCTAGGGCTTCAAGTGTCAGTCAGGTTCCCTGGGCCTCTACTCATAATGCCCCTCAGCAATTCAACAGTCTGTGTGACCCACACTGAAGGCTTGGGCACTTGTGTACATTTTCCTACCTTCCTTGCAACAACTGTATGATTTTGCAGTAATTCTTACTGATTTTGATAGGACTCTCATGGTCTTATAGTTGAGGAATTTGAAGCTAGGGAAAGTTTTAGTTTGTTGCCTAGAATCACACAGGCAGTATATAGCAGAGCTGAGATTTTAAACTCATGCCCATAGTTACAAGCACTACACTGCCCTACCTCCTTATATTAGTCAGGTTTCCTGTGGCTGAGACACAATACCCACAATGCAGAGCAGGAAAGGTTTAATTTAGCTCATTGTTTCAGCAGATTCAGTATATAGACAGCTGGATCCAAGGTAGAAATACCATGGCAGAAAGACATGGTGGAGGAAAGACACTTAATTCAGGTTGGCTTGGAAGCATATCAGGGGAACAGTGCCAGAGAGGAAGGGAAAAGGGACTGTACAGTACCCAAGACCATACCCCCGTGATCCACTCGGACACACACGGGAATGTTGCTGTACTAATCTAGGCATTTCTTAATGAAGTTGGCATATCAGGATTTGTAGCCACAATCCATCCCTTATAAATTTCACACCCTAACACATCTGCTTAAACCATATTCACCAAATAAAGACAATAACAAGTTCATAATTCTGCCTAACATGACACAACTATTATGCATGTAATGGAGAATGTAATAATCCTCTCCCTAGAGTCTCAACTGTTCCAGCATTTTTCAAAAGTTCAACTCTCTCCTGAGACTCTTAGGCAAACTATTAGCTGTGAACCTCTGTAAAAAAAAGAAATACACACTCCCGAGGAATAATAGCACAAGATAAACATTCCCATTCCAAATGGGAGGAATAAGGGCTTAGAAAAGAATCACATCAAAGCAAGACCAAAACCCATCAGGGCCAGGCAAACATTGTACCCTATACCTCCATATCTGGCACTCAGGAAAAATGGTGGTAAAAAGTGAGTTCCAAAGGGCTTGAGTGACAATGGAGTCCTTGTTCCCAAATGAAACCTCCTGGGCCTAGTCTTTATTGTCAGCATTCCTATGGCATTCTGGTCTTCTGAGCTCTAAACTGATTTCCCCTTCCGGTTCTGTTTAGAATCTTTTCTAAGACTTCTCTAGCTGGCATCTCCAAATCTTTCCAAATTTCTAGTGCAAACCAGTTCCAAAAGTTTATAAACCACATGATAAGGTACAGTCACATCAGTGGCCCCACTTTTTTGGTAAACTGTGTGACCTTACAGCAGTACTTGCTGACCTTAGTTACTTCTCTTGTCATCGAGACACAATACCCAACATCCAAGTTGAAAGAGGAGAGGTTATTTTTGGCTCACAGTTTGCAGAGGCTTCAGCCCATAGTTGGTAGCTCCAAGGCAGGGCAGCATGGTTCAGAGGCATGGAGGAGCAAAGCTGCTCATGGCATGGTGTTCAGGAAGCCCAGGATGAAGGGAGGATTGGGGAGGCCACACCTCCAGTGACCTGCCTCTTCTGACCAGATCCTACCTAGCAGCAAGTCAGCGCTAAGCCGCCATAGTCTATTCACCTTCCAAAAGCCCTACCTGTGATCCCATGAGGTATTAGGGCTAGATCTAGATATAAAGAATAGCACTGACCATCTCACAGATGAGTAATTGGATGTTTAAGTCTCTTGGAATCGCACAGCCAGTATATGATTTTAAGCTCATGGACAACCACTTTGCTGCCCCATCTTGTCTAACACTCAGTTAGTGTGTTGAGGAAGCCCAGTACAGGCATGGATGCAGGTTCTGTGTGCAAACTGACAGATATTGGTGAGATTTTAGCCTAAGCATAAATGTCTGTGCATAGTTATAATATCTAAATCTTGGATTTTATGAGGAATTAAATGACATAGGAGAAGTCAAGTTGTAGTGTACAAAATTAGACAGTATAATCTACGTGCTCAAAACTAGACTGTATAATCTACTTGCTATGTCTTTTTATGTGTTTGTTTTCCAGATGAGGATGCCTGTTAGAGGGCTGAGATCCCTTCTGTTCTTGTTTGTTTCTCTGTTAATTTTGACTTAGGCCCAGTGAATATTTTCTGAAGTCTGTTTTTGTGTTTGTTTGGTTTGGTGACAGGAGCTAATTGCTACATGTGGCTGATGAAATGCTGTGCAAATCTTTTAAGGTAGAGTTTTTTCAACACATCTGACCTTCCGCTGTCATAGATCATGCACTGACTGCTGGCCTTTCAGCTTGTGCAGTGGGAACTTAAGCAAGGGTAGAAACTTTTCCAAACTCCCAGGATTTAATTTCTCTTCCCATGGGTTTGATGGACCTGGTAATCAGGCATCCTTTCCTCAAGAGCTGAACAAATTCTTCCTTGGCTTTGGAGTTACTAGCTCAGAAAAAGACAACCTGGCTTTGAGTGAGGTTCTCCTAATAATTCTCCAGTGGGCTACTCAGAGAAGACACGTGCTGAGGAAGACGCTCTGTCCGTTCTCTAGCTCACTTCCACAGTGCTCAGGGCTTGCTCCTGGGTTCTCCAGCTTGCTGTCACTTTAGACAAAAGTCTTCCTTCCTCAAAGTCTTTCAGTTCATGCACTGTCTGAGTTTAAAATCTACTAGTCAATCTGCTTTGCTTATAATGTGAAGTAAGAAATGAGCACCCCTGTAAGCCCATCACCGAGTTAATAAATATGGCAGGGTTCACCCATGTACTTGTTTTCTGCTGAAAATGTTTGCTCATACACAGTTATGACAAGTATTCTCCATTGTCTAGAGTAGCGGTGGCAAACCTTGTAGAGACAGGCTCCCAAACTGCAACTCCAGACCCACTTATTTATTACAGGCTGCCAATGCTGCAATTCCTACGGAGGTTTTAGAATAAGCAGCTGTTATCTGGTGCTTGGCTGCTAGGGCGACTTGGCCTGTGTGCCGACAGAGAGGCTCTGTGTGCCTGCTGTGGCACATATTCCTTTGGTTCACTATCACTGGTCCAAGGGGAGGGAGCAGGACTTGACCAATACTCATCTAATGTGTGCGTTCATGTTTCTAAAGGTGTTTAATTCTGGTGTAATTTCCAATCCGTAAGGGAAGAGTGAGAAAAAATGAGAAATATGCTCTCAGAGCCACTGTGGATTAGCCCTGTGGAATGGTGGGAGGGGCATTGGCTTTAGAGCCAACTGAGCTGAGACTAAGAAACAAATTCTTTAGTTTATATCTCCTGCAGCTCAGAACTATGATAATCCAATATTAATAAGTGATAGGAAACTCAGAGAACAATTTGCAGAGAGATAAAGAGCTCTACAGTAAAATGAATAAACTGTGGTTTTCCCCAGCGGTCAGGTCTTAGAATCTAGCATGGAAGCTGAAATCGAGATCCCTGAAAGCTCCTGTACTTGTGTTTTTGTTAATTCATACTCCAGGCCCCCATGAACCCATTGCAGGGGCTTGTTCTGCATCGCTCTACACGTGTTTTGTCCATCTTTACCCACTGTAGCAGCCTGCTCTCCTCTCCTTGCATTTGACTGTCATACACATGAACCTCCTGGAGCCACCATGTCTTTGGGATGACAGTGGTGACCACCATCTCAGCCCCTTGTTGAGGTGCTCACTGGAGCAAAATCACTGCACCCATTTCACACTCACTCCTAACAATCCCGCCCATCCATCTCTGCTCCGTGATGTCCTTTGGGAGTGAGTTTTGTGCCTTTGTCTGTTTGTGCTGCTATAACAAAACGCCTGAAGTTAAGGAATTTATAAACAAATTTATTTCTTGTGATTCTAGGGGGTGAGGAGCCCAAGGTCAGGGCGTTGGCAGGCTTGGTGTGGTTCGAAGCCTCCTCACTCACT